TTTCCACTAACTTGTCCGGATTTTTATTAGACAGACATTAACAATCGGTCCGAAATTACTGGATAAAAATGTGTGTTACGAATATCATGTAGATAGTAAAACGCTAACAAAAATTTGTCTGCTCAAATTTTACTCGTTCATACCCTCTTCCCCAGGAATTGATGACGTCGTCTTACGATTATGTAGAATAAATGTTATTTAAATGTTAAAATTAACATAGTCCCGAACTTGTGGTTTATGAATCCGTGTTGAATTTTTATACAACAAGTTTTATATTTCTCAGTTTTTCGAATTTTCAATTTCTCAATTGTTCGATTTCAGTTTTGGAATTTTTCAGTTCTTCTATTCTTCAGTTTTCCAATTTTCGGTTTTTTGATTATTCAATTTTTCCATATTTCAGTGTTGGAATTATTCAATTTTTGACGTTTCTAAATTTTCGATATTTCGTTTTCTCAATTTCTAGATTAATCGATTTTCGGTTTTTTCAGTTTTCGATTTCTCGATTTTTTGACTTTTCAGTTTGTCAATTTTTTTATTTCTCAAGTTTTTGATTTTAAAATTTTTCGATTTCTCGATTCTTAAATTTTCGATTTTTGATTTTTCGATTTGCTGAATTTTTACTTCGATTTTCAAATTTTCGTTTCTCAAATTTACGATTTATCGATTTTTCAATTTTTTGATTCTTCAATTTTTCGATTTCACAATTTTTCAATTTCTGGCGTTTCTAAATTTTTGATTTTTCAATTTTTCGATTTTTGACATTTCGATTTCTTGATTTTTTAATTTTTCCATTTTACAATTTTAGAATTTTTGACGTTTCCAAACTTTCGATTTCTCAATTTCTCGATTAACCGAATTTTTTTTGTTTTTCGAATTTACGATTTCTCCTTTTCGCGATTTTTTCGATTTCTCAGTCTTTCAGTTCTTCGATTTTTCATTATTTCAATATTTCAGTTTTAGGATTTTTCATTATTATTTTCATTCTTCAATTCTCCAATTTTTCAGGTTTTTGATTTTTCAGTTTTCAATTTTAGCCTTAGATTTTTCAACTTTTCGAATTCTCGATTATTTCAATTTATCGATTTGTTGATGATTCGATTTCCCGAATTTTCAATTTCTCGATTTTTCAATTTCTCAATTTTTCGATCTCAGTTTTGGAATTTTTCAGTTCTTTTATTCTTCAGTTTTCCAATTTTCAGTTTTTTGATTACTCAATTTTTCCATATTTCAGTGTTGGGGTTTTTCAACTTTTGACGTTTCTAAATTTTCGATATTTCGATTTCTGGATTTTAGAATTTTCAGTTTGTCAATTTTTCCATTTTTCAATTTTTCAATTTCTCAGATTTTTGATTTATCAATTTTTCGATTTTTCGATTCTTAAATTTGATTTTTGACTTTTCGATTTCCTGATTTTGAATTCTTCAATTTTTGATTTTTCGATTTCCTGAATTTTTACTTCGATTTTTCAAATTTTCGTTTTTCAAATTCACGATTTTTCAATTTTTTGATTTTTCAATTTTTGGATTTTACAATTTTTCGATTTCTGGCGTTTCTAAATTTTTGATTTTTCAATTTTTCGATTTTACAATTTTACAGTTTTTGACGTTTCCAAACTTTCGATTTCTCAATTTCTCGATTTTTTCGATTTCTCAGTTTTTCAATTCTCCAATTTTTCAGGTTTTTCATTTTTCAATTTACGATTTTAGACTCAGATTTTTCAACTTTTCGATATCTCGTTTATTTCAATTTTTCGACTTTTTGATCATTCGATTTCCCGAATTTTCAATTTTTCGATTTTTCAATTTCTCGATTTTTAAATTTTTCTATTTTTCAATTTTTCAATTTTTGCCATTTCTAAATTGTTGATTTTTCAATTTCTTATGTTTCGATTTCTCGATTTTTGAATTCTTTTTTTCAGTTTTTAAAATTTTATCGATTTTGCAATTTTACAATTTTTGGCGTTTCCAAACTTTCGATTTTTCAATTTCTCGATTAAACGATTTTTTTGTTTTTCTCATTTACGATTTCTCTTTTTCGCGATTTTTTTGATTTCTCAGTCTTTCAGTTCTTCGATTTTTCAGAATCGACAATTTTTCTTTGATTTTTCATTAGTTCGATATTTCATTTTTAGGATTTTTCATTATTTTGATCCTTCAATTCTCCAATTTTTCAGGTTTTTGATTTTTCAGTTTTCGATTTTAGGCTTAGATTTTTCAACTTTTCAATTTTTCAATTTCTCGATTTTAAATTTTTCTATTTTCCATTTTTTCAATTTTTGGCATTTCTAAATTGTTAATTTTTCAATTTATGTTTCGATTTCTCGATTTTTCAATTTTTGGATTCTTGAGTTTTTCAATTTTCAAAATTTTTCGAATTTACAATTTTACAATTTTTGACGTTTCCAAACTTCCGATTTCTCGTTTTCGGGATTTTTTCGATTTTTCAGTTTTCGAATCAACAATTTTTCTTCGATTTTTCCTTATTTCAATATTTCATTTTTAAGATTTTTCATTATGTTTTTGATTCTTCAATTCTCCAATTTTTCAGGTTTTTGATTTTTTTTTTTCAACTTGGATTTTTCAACTTTTCGAAATCTCGATTATTACAATGTTTCGATTTTTTAATGATTCGATTTCTCAAATTTTCAATTTCTCGATTTTTAAATTTTTCCATTTTTCAATTTTTCAATTTTTGATTTTACAATTTTTCAATTTTGGATGTTTCTAAATTTTCGACCTTTCGATTTCTCAATTTTTAGATTAATCCATTTTTTTTGGTTTCCAGTTCTCCAATTCTTCGATTTTCAATTAATTCAATATTTCAGTTTTAGGATTTTTCATTATTTCAGTTCTTCAATTCTTCAAGTTTTCAGGTTTTTGATTTTTCAATTTTTCGGTCTTTTAAATTTTCGATTTTTTTTGGAAATAGATGTACAGATTCGTGATTGTAAAAAAATCCAATAAGACAGACGTCTCTCCGGACCGGTATAGGAGGATATAAACAGATGGAGAAGGATATAGACAGATACAGATATAGAAATATAGAAGAATGTGAGAGGATATAAATCGAAACAGATGGATATAGAAAGAAATAGAAGTAGATATTCGTGATCCTAAAAAGATTCCGAGAAGATAAACGTTTCTCTGCAACGATATACCAGAATATAAACGGATATAGATTGATATAGCAGGGTACAAATGGATATAGAAGGAAATGGAACCACAGGTTCATGATCTTAAAAGAATTCCGATAGGATAAAAGTGCCTTCGAACCGATATAGAAGAATATAGTATGATATAGAAGATATAGACCGAAATAAAAAGACGCAAATGGAAAGATATACAAAGGTATAGATTGGCATAGAAGAGTATAGAAGGATACACATAGATATAGGAGGATATAGACAGATATAGAAAGATATAGAGTAATTTAGAAGGATATACAAGCACAGATCGTAAGAAATAGAAAAATAGAAAGATTTAGCAGGATATGGAAGGATTTAGATAGATATAGACGGACATGGGGAGATGGAAATAGATGGGCATAGATCGATATAGATGAAGATAGAGACGGATCAACAAGGACATAAAAACACACAAACGTATATTGACAGATATAGACGGATATGGAAGGATATAGACGGATCTAGAAGCACAGATTCTTGATCCTGATGAAATTTTCAGTTTTCGGACCGATTTCAGCTATATATTTCAAACTTTCCAAAAGTGGGATTTTCTCTGTTCTAACCCGTAGAGCAAAAATAAGGACAGATTCGTGATTCTGAAACAGTACTTAGTTTAGCACCATCCTGAAAGAATCCCAAAAATAATTATGATCTGACCTGATTGAAGAAATTTCAGAAGAAATTATGGTCTAACCTGACCCGACCCGACTTGACTTGATCTAACATGAAAAAATCTCTGAAAGGATTAATTTGACCTGACTTGGCCTGATCTGAAACATTTTCGGAAGGAATCATGACTTGAAACGACCTGACTTAACTTGACTTGAATTGCCCTGACTTTACTTGACTTGACCTGCCTTGATTAGACCTGGCCTAATCTGCCCCGACCTGGCCTGACTTGTCTTGACTTGACCTGACCAACTATAACGATATTTTTGCTCCTTTTTTGACGCTAATTTACTTCATTACTTGCTTCTATTTTCCTAAAGAATATGTCATTTTCCAAAATCAGTCTTAACGGGTACTAGCCCCACCCACTCGTCCTCCTTTTCTTAGAAAGTATGTCATTCACCAAAATAAGTCTTATCTAAGCAAGTGCTAGCCCCGCCCACCTTAGAGGCTATCTCATTTGCCAAAATTAGTCTTATCTTAGCAAGTAGTATCCCCGCCCACCCACCCTCTCTTTTCTTAAAGGATCTCTCATTTGCCAAAATTAGTCTTACTGATGACTAACTTTTACAAAAAATGATCAAAATTTGGCAATATTACGAGCTTATATGAACAAGCCAGGAATTTTGAGCATCTTTTCTAGTGTTTAGTTGCTTAAGCTTGAATGGATTTTTCTTTTGTTGGTTTTGTTTTTGTTTATAATTTATAAATAATTAAATGGTTTTCGTATGGTTTTCATTTTTTTATTTATTTTTTTTTTGAAGAGTTAATCCGCCTTTTTCCAGACACATGGTATAATAAATAAAGCTAAATCCCGCGCCATTAATACAACCGCGTATGACTGTATCTGTCTAAACCGGAGTTTGACGCAAAGAATAGCGGAAAACACACTGAATGATAAATGAAGGAGCGAGAACACTGAGTTTATTGATCCGGCGTCAAATTAGACTTGGATGAACCGGAATTTTTTACTACGACATGCATTCCGCAGATTGCTGAAGTCCGGAACGTAATTAATTTAATTTGTTTACGACGCTCCGTAAACAAAGAGGGTGATGAGCGCCTCAACAAGTGCCGCTTTAATAACAGTATTTATCGCACTATTACACACATTTTTTTCGAAAAAATTGAGCGCGTCGTAACTTACCTTAAGCCCTCTGGCTTCGATGACCGTGGCCGTCAGCCTGCCGAGATTTTCGTTGTAGACCAGCGACACCAGCAGCTCCCCCAAGTTCGACTTGATCTCCTGAGGCTCCTAAAGAAAAACCCCCGAATTATTACCCCTCGAACTAGCGCAACCGACCTTCTCCAAGTCTAATTTAAAAAGTTGCTGCTCGGTGCCGTCTCCGATTTCGAGTTCCTTGAGTGGAAACGTGACGTGTCCGATTTCAGAGCGCCTCTTGGCGCGGCTGCCGTCGATCACGGTGAGTTTGAGGATGTGGTCCGACATGTCCCGCTGAGAAACCTGAAATTTTACCAAATTAACGAAAAATACGAATCGAATCCTACCGACTGCGCCATTTTCGCAACTCGATTGCCGCTTACGCTGTACGTGCGGTTTAAATTCGGTTTAAATTCGGTTCGAGCGATAAGGACGTGCCCGTGTACTTACTTGGAAGACCAGAGTTTCGTCGAAGTAGGGGTTGCAAGTTTTCTTCTTTTGTTTGGACTGTAAGTAGCGTCGTTCGTCGGGCATTAAGTGTAAGCTGAAAGGAGAAAATCGTAGATGAGTGTTCGTCTCGCGATAAATATTAAAGAGGGGCGAGTGAGCACATTTCCATTCGGAGAAGACGAATTTGTGCAAATTCAGACGATAAATTATTTATGGCGGATTTTATTAGAGCGCGGTTTGCGGAAAATGAGAGACAAGTTATTAATTTAGAACGGTCTTTGGCGTGGGGCTGTTTTAGTGTTTTTGCGTGGCCCCAATGCGTCGCTAATTAGTTTTGCAGCGCCGGGGGCGGTTCGACCCGGAAGTTCATGTTATTTGACGACTTTCAGGAACTTCCGCTTGGCTGGAAAGAATGAAAGTTTCAAGAGGAAGGCGATCGTGGGCGATCGTCCAGTAATGTCGCTGGAAAAGGAGTGTCGAACGGTCCTCGGAGTCCTCAATCAACATCAGTGCTTGCCAAACTTTTTCCTTTTGGAAATTTTATTTTATTTTGATAGCAACCCTTCCAGGAACGAACTGTTCGCGATAAAACCGTCTGCGTCGGGCAAAAACACAACGCTATCTCGATCGTTAAAAAAACATCACAAGAACGTCAGCTGAAATTAGAGTGTGATGTCCCGAGCCCGGATACAAATTCCGGAGCGAGGCACGGTTCCATAATAAAAATTTCACATTCTGTTTCGTGTAATTTAGTCGTTACCCACGTCTCAAGCGAAAATAAAACATCAACAAATTCCTCCCTTTGCTCCGCGGGACGGAAAAGCTGCCTAATTATTCGTGTGGGCAGATCTCGTATTTGAGTCCAGACAGTCGTGGCCTAGTTCTAGGAGGTTCTTTGAAGCAATCCGGCAGTAATCCCTTTAGGGACACGAATGGACTGATTGAAGGAATTTTCACCTCCGACGCTTCTTTTTACTTCCGGAATGTAAGATAACGAAGTAACGTAATTCAGGCGACTGGCTAGTTTCGTGTTTTCTCGATGTTTTATGGCCGCTGGGGTGCGAAAAAATAGGTCTTCCGTTTCCATTTGTCCCGATTTTTATTAGATAGATAATCGCCGAAACCACCGGAGCGATTGTTTTCAAATTTTGTATATATGCTAGAAATACCTCCTAGATGGTAAGACGCTAACCAAAATTTGTCTGCTCATCCTTACCAACAATGGAGTTTTTACCTTCCGCATTTTTTAAAAAATCGAATCTTTAAATCTTCAAACCTCTTAAGGTTATCAGAAACGTTATACATTGTTAATCAAATTTTATCCTGAACTTGTGCTTTATGAATACGTGTTGAATTTTTACCCGAGGCGTCGAGATTTTTGGGAAAAAAATCAAAATTGTAGATATATACCAATTTTTGTATTTCTTAATTTCGATTTTTCGGCTTTTCGATTTTTCAATTTTTCGATATCTCATTTTTGAGGTTTTTAATTTTTTAATTTTTCGATTTTTTATTTCTTAAATTCTCGATTTTTGACGTTTCGATTTCACGATTTTTCGGTTTTTCGAATTCGCAATTCTTTGATATTTCAATTTTTGAATTTTTCAATAATCCGATTTTTCCATCCAATTTTTCGATTTTTTGATATTTCCATATCTCGATTTTTCAATTTTTCGAATCTTCAACTTTTCGATTTTCCAAATTTTGACGTTTCCAAACTTTCGACTTTTCGATTTCTCAATTTCGCGACTAATCGATTTTTTTTTTTTTGTTTTTCCAATCTCCAATTTTTCTTCGATTTTTCGTTATTTCAATATTTCAGTTGTAGGAGTTTTCATTATTTCGATTCTTAAATTTTCGATTTTTCGACTTTCCGATTTCCCAATTTTTTAAATTTTTTGATGTTTCGATTTCTCGCTTTTTCCGTTATTCAATTCGTCAGTTTTTCGATTCTTCAATTTTTCAATTTCGCAATTTTTCAATTTTTGACTTTTCTAAATTTTGGATTTTTCAATTTTTGATATTTTGATTTCTTGATTTTTCAATTTCTCGATTTTTAAATTTTTTGTTTCTCCAATTTTTGACGTTTCTAAATTTTCGATATTGCGATTTCTGAATTTCTGGATTGATTGATTTTTGGTTTTCCAGTTTTCGATTTCTCGATTTTCCGACTTTTTATTTTTTAATTCTTCATTTTTTCCATTTTTCAATTTTTCAGGTTTATGACTTTTCAATTTTGCGATTTTTCGATTTTTGACGTTTCGATTTCACGATTTTTCGGTTTTTCGAATTCGCAATTCTTCGATATTTCAATATTTGGATTTTTCAATAATCCGATTCTTCAATTTTTTGATTTTTTCAATTTTTGAGGTGTTTAAATTTTTGATTTTTCAATTTTTCGATTTTTTGATATTTCGATATCTCGATTTTTCAATTCTTCGAATCTTCAACTTTTCGATTTTACAAATTTTGACGTTTCCAAACTTTCGACTTCTCGATTTCTCAATTTCTCGACTAATCGATTTTTTTTGTTTTTCGAATTTACGATTTTTCGATTTCGCGACTATCTCACTTTCTCACTTTTTCAATTCTTCAATTTTTCGATTTTTGAGTTTTCCGATCTCCAATTTTCTTCGATTTTTCGTTATTTCAATATTTCAGTTGTAAGAGTTTTCATTATTTCGATTCTTAAATTTTCAATATTTTCACTTTTCGATTTCTCAATTTTTTTTATTTTTTTAAATTTTCGATTTTTCAACTCGCCAGTTTTTCGATTCTTTAATTATTCAATTTCGCAATTTTTCAATTTTTGACTTTTCTAAATTTTTGATTTTTCAATTTTTGATGTTTTCATTTCTTGATTTTTCAATTTTTCGTTTCTCCAATTTTCGATGTTTCTAAATTTTCGATGTTTCGATTTCTGAATTTCTGGATTGATTAATTTTTGGTCTTCCAGTTTTCGATTTCTCTATTTTCCAACTTTTTATTTTTTTAGTTCCTCAGTTTTTCCATTTTTCAATTTTTCAGGCTTATGATTTTCCAATTTTGCGATTTTTCGATTTTTTGACTTCGATTTTTGACTTTTCGATTTTACGATTTTTTATTTTTTAGATTTCGCAATTTTTCGATATTTAGGTTTGAAATTCTTCTATTTTTCGATTTTCGTTTTTCAAATTTACGATTGTTCAATTTCTCGATTTTTTGATATTTTGATGTTTCGGTTTCTCGATTTCCCAATTTTTCGATTCTTAAATTTTTCGATTTTACAATTTTACAATTTTTGACGTTTCCAAACTTTCGATTTATTGTATTTCTCAATTTCTTGTTTAATCTATTATTTGTTTTGTTTTTCGATTTCTCGACGTCCCGATTTCGCGATTTTTTCAATTTCTCAGTTTTCCCATTCTTCAATTTTTCGATTTTCCACTTTTCGAATCTTCAATATTTCTCCGATTTTTCATTATTTCAATTTTTCAGTTAAAGGATTTTTCATTATTTCGATTCCTGAATTCTTCGATTTTTCACGTTTTTGATTTTTCAATTTTTCGATCTTAAATTTTCGATTTTTATACTTAGATTTTTCGACTTTTCGATTTTTCAATTTTTCGGTTCTTCAGTTTTTCAATTTTTAAATTGTTCGTTTTCAATTTTTGACGTTTCTAAATTTTCGATTTCTTAATTTCTCGATTAATCGATTTTTTGGTTTTTCGAATTTTCAATTTCTCGACTTCTCGATTTCACTATTTTTTCGGTGTTTCAGTTTTTCAATTTTTAGATTTTTCTGTTTTCGAAGTTTCAGTTTTTGTTCGATTTTTCATTATTTCCATATTTCAGTTTTAGGATTTTTCATTATCTTCAATTCTTCGATTTTTCAGGTTTCTGACTTTTCAATTTTTCCGTATTTTAAATTTCGAGTTTTTGACTTCGATTTTTGACTTTTCGATTTCACAGTTTTTCAGGTTTGCGATTTCACAATTTTTCGATTTCCTAATTATTCACTTCTTCGTTTTTTCAAATTTTCGTTTTTCGAATTTTCAATTTTTCCATTTTTTGATCTTTCGATTTCTCGGTTTCTTGAATTTTTCATGCTTCAATTTTTCGATATTTAAATTTTTTAGTTTTACAATTTTTCAATTTTTGACGTTTCTAAATTTTCGATTAATTGATTTTTTTGGTTTTCGATGTCTAGACTTTTCAATTTCGCTATTTTTTCGTTGTTTTAGTTTTCCAATTCTTAAATTTTTCGATTTTTCTGTTTTCGAAACTTCAATTTTTCTTTGATTTTTCATCAAGTATTTCCATATTTCAGTTTTAGGATTTTTCATTAGTGTGATTCTTCAATCCTTTGATTTTTCATATTTTTGAATTTTTTCCTTTTTTGATTTTCGATTTTTGGCTTTCCGATTTCACAGATTTTCAGATTTTTGATTTCACAATTTTTCAGATTTTTGATTTCTCAATTTTTCGATATTTTAATTTTGGGATTATTCACTATTTCGATTCTTCAAATTTTCGATTTTTCACAATTTTGATTTTTCAATTTTTCGATTTTTTATTGTTTCATTTTTGGATTTTTGAATTTTTTGATTTTTTAATTTTTCGATTTTACGTTTTTTCAATTTTTGACGTTTCTAAATTTTTGACTTTTCGATTTTTTTATTTTTTCATGTTTAGATTTCCCAATTTTTCAATTTTACAGTTTTACAATTTTTGACGTTCCCAAACTTTCCCGATTTCTCGATTAATCTATTTTTTGTTTTGTTTTTCGAATTTTCGATTTCTGGACTTCCCGATTTCGTGATTTTTTTCGATTTCTCAGTTTTTCAATTCTTCAATTTTTCGATTTTCCAGTCTTCGAATCCTCAATATTTCTTCGATTTATCATTATTTCAATATTTCAGTTTAAGAATTTTTCAATATTTCGATTCTTCAATTCTTCGATTTTTCACGTTTTTGATTTTTCAGTTTTTCGATCTGTTAAATTTTGAATTTTTATACTCAGATTTTTTACTTTTCCCATTTTTGGATTTCTCGATTTTTCAATTTTTCGATTTTCTGATGTTTCGATTTCTCGATTTGTCAAAAACAAATTTTGTCCGATCTATCGGTTGCTCGGTTTTACATTTTTGAGTTCAATTTTTCAATTTCTCGATTTTTCAATTTTATGTTTCGATTTCCCGATTATTCAATTTTTCTTTGAGTTTGCAATTTTTCGATATTTCAGTTTTGGTATTGTTTAATATTTTGATTTTTCAGATTTCGGATTTTTCAATATTTTGTTTCTTCTTTTTTTTCGATTTGTTGACTTCAAATTCTCGGTTTTTTACTTTTCCACTTTTTCAATTTTTTTCGATTTTTAAATTTTAGATTTGTAAATTTTTCCATTTTTTGATGGTTTAATTTTTCGATTTCTCGATTTTTCTGTTCTTCGATATTTCTGTTCTTCGATATTTCTGTTTTTCAATTTCTGGAATTTTTGATCTTTCGATTTCTCGGTTTTATATTTTTCGGTTTTTGAGTTTTCGATTTTTTAATTGTTCACTTTTTCGATTTACCAAGATTTCGACGTTTCGATTATTCGATTATTCAATTTCCAGGTTTTTTAATTTTTCGGTATTTTTTTTTTTAATTCTAATTTTTCGATTTTGGGGCATTTCGATTTCACATTTTGTTGAGCTGACGACTTCTCAATTTCTAGATGTTTTCATGTTTTGCCTTCTTGATGTTTCAATTTTTCGATTTTTTAAATTTTAGATTTTCTGATTTATCGGTTTTGGTATTGTTTAATATTTTGTTTTTTCAGATTTCGGATTTTTCAATATTTTGTTTCTTCTTTTTTTTTCGATTTGTTGACTTTTCAAATTCTCGATTTTTTACTTTTCCGCTTTTTCAATTTTTTTCGATTTTTAAATTTTAGATTTGTAAATTTTTCCATTTTTTGATGGTTTCATTTTTCGATTTCCCGATTTTTCTGTTCTTTGATATTTCTGTTTTTCAATTTCTAGAATTTTTGATCTTTCGATTTCTCGGTTTTATATTTTTCGGTTTTTGAGTTTTCGATTTTTTAATTGTTCACTTTTTCGATTTACCAAGATTTCGACGTTTCGATTATTCGATTATTCAATTTCCAGGTTTTTTAATTTTTCGGTATTTTTTTTTTTTTAATTCTACATTTTCGATTTTGGGGCATTCCGATTTCACATTTTGTTGAGCTGACGACTCTTCAATTTCTAGATGTTTTCATGTTTTGCCTTCTTGATGTTTCAATTTTTCCATTTTTTAAATTTTAGATTTTCTGATTTCTCGGTTTTTCGATTTGTTAATTTTTTATTATTTCAATTTTTCGAATTTTCAAATTTTACATACATATGTATGTCTATTTTCTATTTTTCTATTTTTCGATTTATTGATTTTTTTTTATGCTTTACATATTAGCCTCGGAAGCAGGAGTTAACGTCACTGATTTTGTTGATTTTGGCTCTGCCAAAATAACCTTTAACCTTTCTTTTTATTAACAGAACCCATACAAAGCCTTTCCACTATGCTTCCCTCATCTTTTCATTACAACTTACAACCATAGACCGACTCGGCCTGCCTCCTCCGCCCGCAAAAATCGAATTTGCCCCCACAAAGCCACCTGATTACGATTTAACAAGATGTGGGTCAAACTCACCGCACGAAAGGATCGCAACTATTCACAGTCCCCAGAGTCCGAGACGGCAAGTTCTTGGCTTTCAGCAACGACACGAGGAGTTTCTCGGTCGAGGGCTCGTAGCGCAGCGAGAACCAAATCCGGCCGATGTGCCCCTCCGGCCAGTGGATTTCGTCCAGGTCCAACGTGCTCTTGTACAGCGCCGGCTCTATCACCCCCAGGCCGTAGCAACCTGCGAACCGACAGTTAACCCCAATTGGGACCCATTTTCAGGCCTTACTGAAAGAGTTCGAGCGCTGGTTGCTGACCGTCGGCACCAGCAGCGACTCCGTGTCCACGTCGGAGTCGTCGGGCTCAGTGAGGTCCCCCAGCGACGTGCTCCTCAGCGGCGGAAGACTGAAGTGGATTTCCTTGGTCCTGCCACAAATTTTTTCTCACTTAGGGCACTTCTTTCTTCTGGGTTGAATACTTACAGGAACTGGGGCGCCGTCCCCTGCTGCGACGGGTAGACCAGGATGCTGGCGGCGGCGTGCTCTTCGTCGGCGTTCTTGGTCCTTCGGCGCCGGATGACGGCGAGGGCGGCCGCGGCGCCGAAGAGGAGGAGGATGGCGCCCACGGCCAGCGAAACGTAGAGCAGATCTGGCGAAAGAAAGGCGGATAATGAAGTTATTTCGATGGGAATTGAGATGGGATAGGCACGTGTGGGTAATGTAGGCAACCAATTATGCAGATGGGGCTCGGAGTGGGTTTTTTGGGGGTTTCAGCGGCGGCTCGTCGGATGATGCACATTAAAGCCGATTTCTCAAAGCAGTTTTTTGATTTGCAATTTTTGATTTCGAGCTCTAGAACTCACTTCCAACGTCGTTTCTTTGATAACTGTAACCATTTTTTCGAAATCGACCCTTGAAATATCGAAATTTTTAGAAATTTTCAAAAATTCGCATTTCGTACCGATTCTTTCGAAAATGTTGCTCCGTGACCATCAACACACAAATTTTTGGAATCAGCATGTCGAGATCAACGTCCCTGAATTTTTTCGTAATTTTTGGACAACATTTTTAAAAGTGAAAATTTTTCAATGGTCCCCCCTTCTTCAAATTTCGGCCAAATTTTGACATTTTCGAAACTTAACTAAACACATTTTCTTGTAGATTTCGGGCTCTAGAAGTCACTTCCGGCCTCGTTTCTTTGATAACTGCAACCGTTTTTCCGGAATAGACTGTTGAAATATCAAAATTTTTATAATCCTCAAAAATTCGCATTTCGGACCGATTCTTTCGAAAATGTTGCTCCGTGACCATCAACACACTATATTTTTGGAATCAGCATGTCGAGATCTACGTCCCTGAATTTTTTCACAATTTTTAGACGACATTTTTATAAGTGAAATTTTTCCAATGGTCCCCCCTTCTTCAAATTTCGGCCAAATTTTGACATTTTCGAAACTTAACCAAACACATTTTCTTGTAGATTTCGAGCTCTAGAAGTCACTTTCGGCCTCGTTTCTTCCGTTTTTCCGGAATCGACCGTTGAAATATCGAAATTTTTAAAAATCCTCAAAAATTCGAATTTCGTACCGATTCTTTCGAAAATGTTGCTCCGCGACCATCAACACACTGCATTTTTGGAATCAGCATGTCGAGATCTACGTCCCTGAATTTTTTCACAATTTTTAGACAACTTTTTTAAAAGTGAAATTTTTCCAATGGTCCCCCCTTCTTGAAATTTCGGCCAAATTTTGACATTTTCGAAACTTAACTAAACACATTTTCTTGTAGATTTCCAGCTCTAGAACTCACTTCCAGCATCGTGTCTTTGATAACTGCAACCGTTTTTCCGGAATAGACTGTTGAAATATCGAAATTTTTAAAAATCCTCAAAAATTCGCATTTCGGACCGATTATTTCGAAAATGTTGTTCCGTGACCATCAACACACTATATTTTTGGAATCAGCATGTCGAGGTCTACGTCCCTGAATTTTTTCGAAATTTTTAGACAACTTTTTTAAAAGTGAAATTTTTCCAATGGTCCCCCCTTCTTCAAATTTCGGCCAAATTTTGACATTTTCGGAACTTAACTAAACACATTTTCTTGTAGATTTCGAGCTCTAGAACTAACTTCCGGAATCGTTTCTTTGATAACTACAACCGTTTTTCCGGAATCGACCGTTAAAAATTCGAAATTTTTAAAAATCCTCAAAAATTCGCATTTCGTACCGATTCTTTCGAAAATGTTGCTCCGTGACCATCAACACACTATATTTTTGGAATCAGCATGTCGACATCAAAGTGCCTGCATTTTTTCACAATTTTTGGACGACTTTTTTAAAAATTAAATTTTTCCCCTTCTTCAAATTTCGGCCAAATTTTGACATTTTCGAAACTTAACTAAACACATTTTCTTGTAGATTTCCAGCTCTAGAACTCACTTCCAGCATCGTGTCTTTGATAACTGCAACCGTTTTTCCGGAATAGACTGTTGAAATATCGAAATTTTTAAAAATCCTCAAAAATTCGCATTTCGGACCGATTATTTCGAAAATGTTGTTCCGTGACCATCAACACACTATATTTATGGAATCAGCATGTCGAGATCTACGTCCCTGAATTTTTTCACAATTTTTGGACAACTTTTTTAAAAGTGAAATTTTTCCAATGGTCCCCCCTTCTTCAAATTTCGGCCAAATTTTGACATTTTCGAAACTTAACTAAACACATTTTCTTGTTGATTTCGAGCTCTAGAAGTCACTTCCGGCCTCGTTGCTTTGATAACTGCAACCGTTTTTCCGGAATAGACTGTTGAAATATCGAAATTTTTAAAAATCCTCAAAAATTCGCATTTCGGACCGATTATTTCGAAAATGTTGCTCCGTGACCATCAACACACTATATTTTAGGAATCAGCATGTCGGGATCTACGTCCCTGAATTTTTTCACAATTTTTGGACAACTTTTTTAAAAGTGAAATTTTTTCAATGGTCCCCCCTTCTTCAAATTTCGGCCAAATTTTGACATTTTCGAAACTTAACTAAACACATTTTCTTGTAGATTTCGAGCTCTAGAACTCACTTCCGGCATCGTTTCTTTGATAACTGCAACCGTTTTTCCGGAATCGACCGTTGAAATATCGAAATTTTTAAAAATCCTCAAAAATTCGCATTTCGTACCGATTCTTTCGAAAATATTGCTCCGTGACCATGAAAACACTATATTTTTGGAATCAGCATGTCGAAATCTACGTCCCTGAATTTTTTCAAAATTTTTGGACAACTTGTTTAAAAGTGAAATTTTTCCAATGGTCCCCCCTTTTTCAAATTTCGGCCAAATTTTGACAGTTTCGAAACTCAACTAAACACATTTTCTTGTAGATTCCGAGCTCTAGAACCCACTTCCGGAATCGTTTCTTTGATAACTACAACCGTTTTTCCGGAATCGACCGTTAACATATCGAAATTTTTAAAAATCCTCAAAAATTCGCATTTCGTATCGATTCTTTCGAAAATATTGCTCCGTGACCATGAAAACACTATATTTTTGGAATCAGCATGTCGAGATCTACGTCCCTGAATTTTTTCACAATTTTGGACAACTTTTATAAAAGTGAAATTTTTTCAATGGTCCCCCCTTCTTCAAATTTCGGCCAAATTTTGACATTTTCGAAACTTAACTAAACACATTTTCTTGTAGATTTCCAGCTCTAGAACTCACTTCCGGCCTCGTTTCTTTGATAACTGCAACCGTTTTTCCGGAATCGACCGTTGAAATATCGAAATTTTTAAAAATCCTCAAAAATTAGCATTTCGTACTGATTCTTTGGAAAATGTTGCTCCGTGACCATCAACAAACTATATTTTTAGAATCAGCATGTCGAAATCTACGTCCCTGAATTTTTTCAAAATTTTTAGATAACTTTTTTAAAAGTGAAATTTTTCCAATGGTCCCCCCTTCTTCAAATTTTGGCCAAATTTTGACATTTTCGAAACTTAACTAAACACATTTTCTTGTAGATTTCGAGCTCTAGAAGTCACTTCGGGCCTCCTTTCTTTGATAACTGCAACCGTTTTTCCGGAATAGACTGTTGAAATATCGAAATTTTTAAAAATCCTCAAAAATTCGCATTTCGGACCGATTCTTTCAAAATGTTGCTCCGTGACCATCAACACACTATATTTTTGGAATCAGCATGTCGAGATCTACGTCCCTGAATTTTTTCACAATTTTTGGACAACTTTTTTAAAAGTGAAATTTTTCCAATGGTCCCCCCTTCTTCAAATTTCGGCCAAATTTTGACATTTTCGAAACTTAACTAAACACATTTTCTTGTAGATTTCGAGCTCTAGAAGTCACTTCCGGCCTCGTTTCTTTGATAACTGCAACCGTTTTTCCGGAATAGACTGTTGAAATATCGAAATTTTAAAATATCCTCAAAAATTCGTATTTCGTACCGATTCTTTCGAAAATGTGGCTCCGTGACCATCAACACACTATATTTTTGGAATCAGCATGTCGAGATCTACGTCTCTGAATTTTTTCACAATTTTTGGACAACTTTTTCAAAAATGAAATTTTTCCAATGGTCCCCCCTTCTTCAAATTTCGGCTAAATTTTGACATTTTCGAAACTTAACTAAACACATTTTCTTGTAGATTTCGAGCTCTAGAACTAATTTCCGGCATCGTTTCTTTGATAACTGCAACCGTTTTTCCGGAATCGACCGTTGAAATATCGAAATTTTTAAAAATCCTCAAAAATTCGCATTTCGTACCGATTCTTTCGAAAATGTTGCTCCGTGACCATCAACACACTATATTTTTGGAATCAGCATGTCGAGATCTACGTCCCTGAATTTTTTCGCAATTTTTAGACAACTTTTTTAAAAGTGAAATTTTTCCAATGGTCCCCCCTTCTTCAAATTTCGCCCAATTTTTGACATTTTGGAAACTTAACTAAACACATTTTCTTGTAGATTTCCAGCTCTAGAACTCACTTCCGGCATCGTTTCTTTGATCACTGCAACCGTTTTTCCGAAATCGACTGTTGAAATATCGAAATTTTAAAAAATCCTCAAAAATTAGCATCTCGTACGGATTCTTTCGAAAATATTGCTCCGTGACCATGAAAACACTATATTTTTGGAATCAGCATGTCGAAATCCACGTCCCTGAATTTTTTCACAATTTTTGGACAACTTTTTTAAAAGTGAAATTTTTCCAATGGTCCCCCCTTCTTGAAATTTCGGCCAAATTTTGACATTTTCGAAACTTAACTAAACACATTTTCTTGTAGGTTTCCAGCTCTAGAACTCACTTCCGGCATCGCTTCTTTGATAACTGCAACCGTTTTTCCGGAATCGACCGTTGAAATATCGAAATTTCTAAAAATCCTCAAAAATTCTCATTTCGTATCGATTCTTTCGAAAATGTTGCTCCGTGACCATCAACACACTATATTTTTGGAATCAGCATGTCGAGATCTACGTCCGTGAATTTTTTCGCAATTTTTAGACAACTTTTTTAAAAGTGAAATTTTTTCAATGGTCCCCCCTTCTTCAAATTTCGGCTAAATTTTGACATTTTCGAAACTTAACTAAACACCTTTTCTTGTAGATTTCGAGCTCTAGAACTCACTTCCGGCCTCGT